TTCCTTTATTGCTAGAGATGGTGAGCATTTTTTCATGTGTTTTCTGGCCATTTGAATTTCTTCTTTTGAGAAAGTTCTGTTTAGTTCACTTGTCCACTTCTTTATTGGTTCATTAGTTTTGGGAGAATTTAGTTTTTTAGGAGAAAGTAGATTTATTAGGATGTCATTAGGAGAAGAGATAAATAGTGGGTGGTTACACAAAGGAATGTAGCACCTCAACTCAGTGTTACTAATATTGGATTTAAAGGAGGTGTTGGTAGCATTTGTTGCCCTCTATGCAGAGAAACTAATGCAGATACTTTAAAGTGACAGAGGCCAATAGGAGAAGGGAACCAGGAACTAGAGAAAAGGTTAGATCAAGAAAAATTAACTTAGAAGGTAATACACATGCCCAGGAAAGCAATGCAAGTCAACTCCCTGTATAGCTATCCTTATCTCAACTAGCAAAAACTCTTGGTCCTTTCTATTATTGCTTATACTCTTTCTTCTCTTCAACAAAATTAGAGATAAGGGCAAAATAGTTTCTGCCTGATAGGGAGGGGGTGCGGGGGAGAGGGAGGGGGTGGGAGGGTAAGGGTGGGGATGGGGGGAAGGGGGGAGAAATGACCCAAACATTGTATGCACATATAAATAAAAGAAAAAAAATGAATAAATAAAAAAATAGGAAAAAATAAAGGAGGGGTTGGATGTATTGAAAAGTAGCTCTATCAATATCAACAAAGTATTCAATTTTTTTGGCCAATTTTCATAAGGTTATCTATTATAATTACAATCTCTGTATCTTGTCATGTGATAAAAATATGTAAAACCATTATAACTAACTTAGGAAGTTGAAACACAATTTATCATATCTGTATGGGTAGATCCTACATAAGCTCTTCTTTTCTCATCCTTGCAGCTGTAACTTTGTTCATCTATAGTATGGATATAAATAAGATAATGAGATAATATAAATAGCACTAATTTTTTTTTTTGTGGATTGGGGTTTGAACTCAGGGCCTGCACTTTGAGCCACTCCACCAGCCCATTTTTATGATTTTCAAGATAGGGTCTCATAAACTATTTGCCTGGGCTGGCCTCGAACTTCAATCCTTCTGATCTCTACCTCTGAGTAGCTAAGATTATAGGTGTGAACCACTGGTGCCTTGCTAGCACTAACATTTTATTTTTAATCTTTGATTGTCAAGTAAAACAATGGCTTATTGAGTGAAAATAATTTGGCAGGTATTCCTTTTATCAAGAAAATGAGTTGGAGTTAGCAGTAGAGTAAATCTTTACAAAACTCTTCAATCTCTTTATCAGTGAGCATTTGCAAAGAGCACAGTGTCATTAAATTTATTGTCTTCTGTTTCTTTCAACAGTTCCATGAACTGGTGAATCTTATAACATTACATGTATATTTTGAACCATTTCAACATCTGTATCATGATACTTTTTGTAGAGTAGACTTTAGAAAACTGAGAAATCAAATATTTTCAGTATGTATCATATAGTGCAAGGAAGCAGATTTTTCCACTGTGTATCATATGGTAGAATTAAGTAAAAGAGGAGTCTATTAAAATCCCAGAAAATTCATATTTTAGCCCAATTCGTCTGTCATGATAGAAAATATTTCACATGTAGATGAATGTTCAAAAATACCTACACCATGAGTTTGACATTTTTAAGCTATAGTTTGACAGTTTTTTTTAAATATAAGCATGCCCAAAATACTAATTGGGTACCATCTTTTATGTCAGAATTCATCTAAAGCCAAGGGAAAATGTTTAATATTTTTCAAATTTTGAATTGTTTTTCCCTTTTTTTTTTTTTTCTTCAGACACAGGGTCTTGCTATGGTAGCCAAGGCCAGCCTGGAACTTGCTGTGCAGCCCAGACTGGCCTCAAACTCCTGTCTTAGTCTCCTGAGTGCTAGGTACTGGTGGTGCAACTAGACCTGGCTTGAAGCAACCTTTGCTACAATTTGTTAGAAAAGGTTTAAAGTCTATGCCCAGTTGTGGTTTAACTTAAGATTGTTCGCTTTTTATAAATACATTAAGTCCTTTCCCTAAAATATTTTCTTCATTTAAAATGTTTTTTGTTGTATGTGTATAAAAGTTCTAAGTTATTGTATAGTTGACTGAAGTTACAGGTTTGGATCCTGTTACTAATTCATTGAGGGGCTGAGGGTGTAGCTCAGTGGTAGAGCTCTTGTCTAGTTTATAGGAGGCCCTGGTTTTAATCCCTAGCAATGTAGAAAAAATGTATTTAAAAATGTTTTTGTTGGATATTTGTGATTTCAGCCACTAATATCATGTATTCTTTTTTAAATGTTGAGGAGAAAATGCTTATCAAATTCATTATCTGCTGAAAATGTCTCCTTTACAAAAACAAACTGCTTTCTCATTTACTCTACTGTGTGCCCAATGTGGTTGCCATTTATTGTGAATTTATGACCTGTTTTCTTCCATTTTTTTTCCTTTACTATGCTGGTAATTCTTCTAGCTTCTCTGTCCCTAATCAGTTTCTTATCAGTAGTCTGCCTTTGTTTTAAATTTTAAAATTTGTCCATAGTTTTTTATTTAACAAGAAAAATAATTATATTCAATCTTAGTTACCAGTTAAGATTTGTATATACTACAGTATATACATGCTCTATGTATAAGAAATGCATCCTTATGTTTCATGGATGCACAGAAAAAAAGTTACTTGAGCTGAATCAATCTATTGTCCCTGAATAGAACAGTGATGTGTTTGTGTGTTACACTAGAAATGACACATGGGCCTGACATATATACGACAGTAAAGTGAAATGCCATCCTACCAAATCAGTAAAGTTGTGCTTAATGGAAAAATATTTTACAATGCATTGGTTTTAAATTGAAATTGGATACAATTTACAACTCAGTTCCTCAGGTCACACTAGTTACATTTCAAATGCTCAGTAGTCATATGTGACTATGATGTGGCCATCATATGAAACAGTAGAGATGCACAGTTGAACATTAAGTGAACTAGAAATTTATTTATTTTTATTTATTTATTCGTTCATTCATCCATTCCTTCATTCCCTTGGGTTCAAGTAGCTTTCAAATTCTGATGCCTTTAACTTTAAAATGGCTTCATTGTTAAACTCAATTTAAAATTTCTTTTCGTTGTTTCCACTATTTACTAGCAGACTGGGTTTCATGAGCAAATCTTAATAGAGGCCTAACATGAACAAATGTTCTAGGCAGAGGAGGAAATGCCTATGCGTGTCTTTGGTTGGCCTCCCAGGTTCTGATTCCTGGAGGTAAGGGTAGGGTTGGAGTTAGGACATGGAATTCACAGCTTGCATCCTGGTTGATTTCTCGCCACCTTTGTGATGTTGGGAGTTTACCTCCATGTGACCCAGTTCCTCATTTGTGAAGTGGGTTCCTAATACCTCCAGCTCCTGGAGTCTGTTTGAATAGCAGGTGTAGTGGGAAGCCCTTGATAAGCCCTGTGTTTAAATGCCTGTCCCAAGGACTTTCTTTCTCATCTGTGGTGTAATGTTATTTTGGAAGCAGGAGGTATTTTTCATTATGTCCACTGGTGTCCTGTGTCCCATTAGAAAGAGTTTTTCTTTATTCTGTCACTGAAGCTAGCCTGAGCCAAAAACAAGGAATGAATGAATTAAAAATAGTCTTTAGCTGGATGCCAGTGGCTCATGCCTATAATGCTAAGCACTTGAGAGGCTGAAATCAGGAGGATCATAGTTCAAGACCAGCCTGGGTAAATAGTTCAAGAGACTTCCATCCCTAAAATAACCAGAGCAAAATGGACTGGAGGTGAGGCTCAGTCAAGTGCCTGCTTTGCAAGCACGAAGCCCTGAGTTTAAACCTGGTCCTACTTTAAAAAAAAAGTCTTTAGATAATTCACACTCCTAAGCAGCCTTTTCTCCCCCAAAGAGCTGGGCAAAGTTAGTATTTTTGCTAGTTATTCAAATACTTTTCTCTGTTTCCCACTTGATTTTTTTTGTGTGTAGGTGTGGCTCACCTACTGTCAGTGGGACAGTTTATTAAGATAGAAAGGTAGCAAAGAGTAGAGCTCTGAAGCTGTGAGGGGTCCCAAGAGAAGGTGCCCTCAGCCACATTGTATTTGTTGAGAAAGCATCACCTCAGAATACTCTCAGTTTCTGCAGAGATACTCCAAAAAGAGCTAAAGTTCTGGGTTTTAAGCCTTTTGAATTAAGTGGGGCATGCCTTTAACATTGCACCTAACACCCAGAGTGCACTAGAGCTCTGTCTGGGGAGACCAAGAGCAAATAGAGGAGTAAGAAGGAGACTGGGTATGTCTTACCTCTTTAAAAGTTCTGGGGGAAAACAGTGGCCTTTCTGAATAGAGTGATAGAGCACACTAAGAATGGAGACTGACCCTCTGTTAATCTGCTAGACTAATCAAGACAAGTCCAGATCTGTCTGAGTCCTGCACATGGTTCCCCGAGTCCTATGTGATTTATCCAACTAATCTCAAGACCCCAGTTGCTCCAGCACAGAATGGAATCCAGCCACCGATCAATAACTCAAGGACAGATGAAAGAGAATTCTTCCTGGCCTCTTACAACAGGAAGAAAGAGGATGGGGAAGGCAATGTTTGGATTGCAAAGTCATCAGCTGGTGCCAAAGGTGAGTGGGTATTACTGTCCCTGTAGGTTCCTGTTGAGAATTAGGTTTTAACATGTAGTTAGATGAATTACTCTTATCTGAACTACTGGGGGTAGAGACCATGCCTGGTTGCAAATACCATCTCTAGTCTCCTGGTGTTTATCTCTACTGTAGGCCTTCCCTCTAAGCTGTACGTTTAGTGGCACTCTCATCCTCTTTTATTGCATGAGCCACTCCATCAGTAGACCCTCACCATCTCTAAAAGGCATCTCAAACTTAATGTGCCCAATACAGAACTGTTCGCTTCCTTTCCAACTTTGCCCATCCCCAGCCTGCTCCTCTTTCCCTATTCCTGCTTAGTGTATCATCCCACTGTCACTCAGTCTCTGAAACCTGAGATTCATCCTTGATAGCTCTTTTGTTTATAATCTGTACCTAACTCATTAATATCTTGCTAGTGCTCCCTTCCAAATACATTCTGAATTAGACTTTTTCTCAATACTGCTCTCACTCTAAATCAAAACCACCATTCTTTCTAGTGTGTGTAATCACAGTGTATACCCTCAGCCAGGTCTCCTCCTCCCAGGCAGAGTAATGTTTTAAAAAAATAAATTTGATCATGTTACTTCCTGCCTAAGACTTACCAGCTGGCCTCCTAATGTGATTAGAATAACTTCAGATTCCCGATGATAGTCCGCCATTGGACATCTCCCTGTATCTCTGATCTCATCTCCTTCTATTCTTGGCCTTACTCACTGTGCTGTAGACACAAAGACTGCCTCATGTCTGTCAGATATTCTAAATTTGTCTCTGGAATGTGCTTACATGGATTATTTTCTATATCTCTCAGCTCAGAGGTTGCCCTGTCAGTGAAGGCTTTCCTAAGTAGCCTCAACAGTCATTGCTCTCTATCCCTTTCTCCTGCTTTATTTTTCCTCCTAAACTTCTTCCTAGGACTATATTACATATCTGTCCATCTCCTCATCATATTATAAGCTCCTTAAAAACACAAACTTTCTATCTTGTTTGTCTCCATATCCTCCTCACAGGCACTCAATAAATGTGTGTTGAAAGAATGCAGAGAAAAGGTGAGGTTTATAATATTAATTCAGGCTTAAAATAGAGGCAACTCCCAATATAACAAGTATATAAACAGTCTGTCTGTATAACTATGCTCTTTTTAAAACCATTCCATTTTAAACTTCTTTTATTGCCTTGGAAGACCATCTGGCCATTGGTACTCATTTCTATCCCTGGTCCAGTAGACCTCACCTTCTTTTCCACCAACCATGAGACAGGAAGGAATCACCTGGAATGTCCTGAAAGTGGGAGAGTTGAACTCTTGCCACAAGCCAGGTACCTAACCTACTTCTTTTTCCCTTCTTTTGACCTCTTTTCAAGCACTGTCCCCTAGTTTGGTTCTGATGACAAATGGGAGAATTGGAAGAGGAAATAGACATCCACTATATTCCAGATTCCTCCTATGAATTTGAGCTTGGAGTCATAGTAGCCATTGTGAGGACACCTGGAACCCTCACCAAGACAAGTCATAGAAGGACACTAAGCAGCAGGGAGTGGTAAAGAGAATAAAATGTCGAACTAAGCATTTTTGCTTTAAGAGCTGAGGAGATAAGTGACATATATTAGCTTTGTTTGGGAACAACAAAATGAAGCCAAAAGAAAGAATAAATGGCTTTTCTTCTCATTAAACAAATATTTACTTATGCCTATTACATGCTTGGTATAGTTAGCTCAACCTTAAAACTATATCTAATATCAAGTTACTGTTCACTACCTTTACCAGGTCTCTGATCTGAGGCCACCTTCACCTCTTACCTGGAGCATTGCTCCTGTGCTCCTGCTCTGGGCTGTTCTCCAGAGAGTATACATAACACAGAAGACAGAGATGGTATCACAGCATAGCCAGACCATGTAACATCTGTGGCCATTATTGGTTCCCTATGTCAGACAGCAACTAGAATCCAGCAAAGATTCAACGTATGTACTAAGTGAATGAATGAATATTTGGAGATGCAGGAATAAAAGAGACAGATACAATCTAGTCAGCAAGGATATGATGCATCTGTTTCCAGAAAAGCTAAAAACTGAAATGTGACTTACACTTCGAAAGATTATCCCTTCCGCTGGGCTGGACATGGTGGCACACATGCCTGTAATTCCAGCTACTTTGGATGTGAAAGGTGAGGGTAGGAGGATGGGGATCCAAAGCTAGAGACCTTATTTGAAAAACACCAAAAGCAAAAAGGACTGGGGGTGTGGCTAAAGTGGTAGATCAGTTACCTAGCAAGTATAAGGCTCTGGGTTTAAACACCAGCACTGCTGGAAAAAAAAAAAGTTCCTCTCCCAAAAAAGTTCATAATTTCTCCATGTTCAGTAAGTAAGGATATGAACAAGTGATGTAAAAAATATAGATAATAAATCCATGAACACATATTACACTAGTATCCAAAAATTACTAAATAAATTTGAATTATGTGTATCATATTTTAGCTACAAAAAAGTGTTAGTGATATTTGCTGAAACTTTGTTGTGAACTGCTCCATTAGTGATGGTTCATAGCCCTTTGGGAAAGAATAGGATGACACAGAGCAGAAGCCATAAAGGGCTCATGTCATTTGACCCAGGCATCTCATTCCCAAAAATTTACTCCAAAGAAGTATTAAAAAGGAAATAAGAGTGATCTACAGCAAAGATATTTGCTATTATGTTATCTACAATAGCAAAATATTATTTACAAACAGCCCCCATTGTCCACCAATCAGTAAACAAATGTGTAACTTTTTAAATTATGAAGTTAATATAGAAACAGTAAAAATATTGACAATAAAGTGAAAAAGAATATACAATGAGTTCACTGTGATTAAACCAGGCTTTTCCTATGTATAAAGGAAGGTAATATGGAAAAAATAAAAATAATTATGTTAGGAAATAAGACTGTGGTTAACTTTCCCATTTTTCTTTAATGTCATGTTTGTAAAATCATAAATTTTGGTGGGGGGGGGGAGTCTCAGACTTAATCTTAACAACTTTTAAAGTTATAAAAATGTATCTATCTCCTTGCTTTTTACCCACTGTTCTTTTCCAACCTAGTAACAGGAGGTATATTAGTTTTCAATAAGAAATAGCTTACATTTGGGCTCCAGTGGTTCATGCCTAATCCTAACTGTTCAGGAGGCAGAGGTCAGGAGGATAGCGGTTCGAAGCCAGCCTGGGCAAATAGTTCACAAGAACCTATCTCAAAAATACTCAGTACAAAAAAGGGCTGACGGAATGGCTCAAGTGGTAGAGTACCTGTTTAGCAAGCATGAGGCCCTCGGTTCAAACCCCATTAAACCCTCTCCCCCCAAAAAAGAAAAAGAAATAGTTTACATCAGGAAAATAAGGTTGGCGCATATGGAAGGAAATGGGGTTAGGTAATATAGAGCAAAAGATACTTTTAGGACATTTGCAGGAAAGTGGTGCTTTAGAGTGATTGTTCTAGAAGCAGTATGCAGGGTGGCATACAGGAGGGAAGATTAAGTCTAAAGTTAGGAAATGGCAAATAGAAAAAAGAGGAACAAGAAAATCTGAGTGTGGTTCATGAGTGAAATGAAACAGAATGAGTCATATGTATAGGAAAACAGAGAAGGGGAGCTTTTCCAAGTAGATTTGCAATTTCTGTTTCAATATCCAACCAAATGATAGAGACTTAGAAATAGACCCAAACATATATGCCCACCTAATTTTGACCAAAATGCCAAAGCCATTCAATAGAGGAAGGATGGACTTTACAACAAATGGTGCTGGATAAAGTTGATATCCATAGGCAAAAAAAAAAGAACATCAACCCAAACATCATACCTTAACTAACCAAAAATGAACTCAGAGTGGATTATGGACTTAAATGTAAATAGTAAACTATAAAATTTGAGGGGGAAAATAGGCAAATGATGCTTAAACTTAACACTAAAGGTACAATCCATATGAGCCAAAATTGATAAATTGAACCTCAGTAATATAAAACTTTTGCTCTATGAAACATCCCATTAAAAGGATGAAAAGAAAAGCTACAACTGGGAGGAAGGATTTTCAAATAATGTGCATGGCTAGGGACCTAGACATAGAAAATATGAACACCCTTCAAAATTTAATACAGTCTGATTAAAAAATGGACAAAATAACATGAAAATACTTTTCACTGAAGAGGCTATACAGATGGAAAATAAACAAATGAAAAGTTTTTCTTCATCATTAATCATTAGGAAAATGCAAATTAAAACCACTTGCTAGCCATCACGACTTTCCTATTAAAATGGCTAAAATAAGAAGCAGTAAGCTGGGTGTGGTGGCCCACATCTGTATCCCAGCACTTGGAAGAGCAAGAGAGGAGGAGGATCGTGAGAAGCAAGAAGAAAAAAAAAAAAATGCTTCCACGTTTCTAGAAAAACTAAAACACTCACACATTGCTAGTGGGAATGTAAAATGATACAGCTACTCTGGAAAAAGAGTGGCAATTTCTTATAAACTAAACATGTAGAGCTGTACATGGGTGGGGTGTGCTGGTAGTTCCAGTACTCAGAAAGCTGAGACAGGAGGATTGCTTGAGGTCAGGAGTTCAAGACCAGCCTTGGTAGCACAGTGGATCAACCAAACAACAACAAAACAAAACACCTAAAACTGAGCATTTAACTCCCATATCACTTAGCAATTTCATACACTGGAATATTTGTCTCAGAGAGTTGAAAACTTATGTTCCAACAAAAACTTAACCATGATTGTTTATAGCAATTTGTAAGAAACAATCCAAATGTCCTTCAAAGGGTAAATGAGTAAATAAAGTGGTGAATTAAAGCCATGGAATAACACAGCATGGCACTTCTATGTTACAAAGAGAATGATACAGGGGGGAGAAATGGCCCAAACAATGTATGCACATATGAATAAATGAATAAATAAACCAAAAAAAAATTACAGAACACACCTAAAAAAAGAACATAATATTACTTATTTAATGTTAACGGACAGTTTGAGTGCATTCTGTTTTTCTTTTGTGGTGCTGCAGGGAACACACTTGTACATTCATCTTTATGCCCTGACATTTCTGGCATTTCTATAAGATACAGTCTTCCAAGTGGATGTTTTGGTCATAGGAGATTATCATCTTCATTTTAGCCAGTGACTAGCCATAGAGTGGCATTTTTTAAAGTGCTTAGATACTTTGAATAACTGCAAAACTGAAATTTCATGGTTGGAGCCTGCCAAGATAGTGTTGAGACTCCTTCATGACAAAGTTAGTTGGATAACCCTGGGTGCTCTTGTAGGGAGAGGGGAAAGTGTGAGATTGTGGGAAGGAAGCGGGGAAGATAAGAGTGAGCAAGCCAATGAAAGCTTCCTGTCGGTTTTGTTTTCTTTTTCCTGCTGTCTCTGTTTCCTCTCTGGTTTTGCAGAGAACTTTTCCTCTTGGACTAGTTTCTGTTTTGTTTTTATTCTATTAGGTGAAGGCATCCTCATCTCCTCGGAGGCATCAGAGCTTCTGGATTTCATAGACAACCAGGGTCAAGTGCATGTGATCCAGAAATACCTTGAGCACCCTTTGCTTCTAGAGCCCGGTCACCGCAAGTTTGACATTCGGTAATGCTTCAGTGACCACAGCTGTGGTGTTACTTATCTGAAAAGAATGCAGTGGGGAAGTGAGACTGTGAGGAAGTGTCTGTGTTTAACATGTTACTAAAACAGAGTGCAGCTGAATAGAACTGTGCTTCTGCACCACATTTTTAAATTTTCATTTCAATATTTCTTTCTTTTTAGGAAATGTTACATATATGTTCTCTTCCATGAAAATGACTTTGGATCCAAAGAGTAGAGTCCCCATGTGTGGGGCTTACTTGGGGAGAAAGTTGAGAGATGCATATTGAAACACGTAACTCATATACAACACACTGGGTGGCCCTAACAAATACTTTGTTCTCAGTTTGTTTATTTATCTATTTATTCATTCATTTGTTTTTCAGTTTGAACTCGGCCTCATACTTGCTAGATAGGTGCTTTACCACTTGAGCCACACACCCAATCCTTTCTGCTTTAGTTATTTTGTGGACTTCAGACCATGATCTTCCTACCTGTTACCTACAGCATAGCTGAGATCACAGGACTGCACCACCATACCTGGCTTATTAATTGAGATTTGGTCTCTTCTAACTTTTTACCCAGGCTGGCCTCAAACTGCTATCCTCCTACTCTCCACCTCCCAAGTAGCTAGGATCACAAGCATGAACCATCATTCTTGGCTCTCGTTTTATTATTTCTGTTTCACGTTTATGAGTTTCCTGAACACATCTCAGGTTTCTGGATTTCAAGTTTCTGAGAGAAGGGCCTTCATGGAGAAAGAGATTGTGTTATGCTTTCTAAACTAAATACCTTTTCCTTACTTGCCCTTGCCATCACCTCCTCTTTGAGAGTCCTTGTCTCCTTGATGCCTTCATAATGACTTGTTGCTTCTTAAACATCAGTCCTATGTCAGGTTAGCTTTAAGAAGTATACCCTTCCTCTTAAGATACTGGAAAGCAAGCATGGCAAATGGAGGTGTTAGGTTAACTTCAAACCCATCCAAATCTCCTCAAAATGCTGGTTTTTTTAATGGTCACTTAAAAATTAAAGTCTTATTGTCATTTATGCTGAAATGTTTTGTTTGCTTCATTGTGGTGATAACCCACTACTTTGGTTAGCTTATGATTTACCTTATATAATTTTGAACCTACCTCTTTCCCCTATTTTCTCACCTCCCCCCAAAAAATAAGGTGTAGGGATATAAGAGAAAGGGTGAGAAGAAGGGAGGGAAGGAGATAGACTTATTGAGTCTTGGGCTGACCTGAGTTAAATGGTGTATTTGTTGAATTTGCAGAAGCTGGGTCTTGGTTGACCATCAGTATAATATCTACCTCTATAGAGAGGGTGTGCTTCGAACTGCTTCAGAACCATATCATGTTGATAATTTCCAAGACAAGACCTGCCATTTGACCAATCACTGCATTCAAAAAGAGTATTCGAAGAACTATGGGAAATATGAAGAAGGGAATGAAATGTTCTTTGAGGAGTTCAATCAGTACCTAACAAGTGCTTTGAATATTACCTTGGAAAATAGTATCTTACTACAAATCAAACATATAATAAGGTAACTTTTTATACCTTTTCCTGGTTTGTTTCCTTTTCTTTTTTCTTTTTTTGTGGCACTGGGGTTTGAACTCGGGCCTCACACTTGCTAGGTCGGTGCTCTACTACTTGAGCCACTCTGCCAGCCCTGGTTTGTTTCTTGTAGAAGGAGCTTTTGGGTATTTATGCCTTTCAAGGAATTGTTTCACTTAAGTTGTCTAATTTATGTGCAAGAATTATTTGTAATTTTCTTTTATTTTTAACTTGATATATATCTATAGGATCTGTAATGCTGTCACTTCTTTTGTTCCAGTAATTAATGATTTATATTTTCTCTCTACCTGGACAGATATGCTAGAGAGTTAGTATTTTTTTAAATCTTTTTTTCAAAATTGCTTTTTGTTTTATTGATTTTTCTCTTATTTTAGTTTTTTTATTTTTATTTTAATGCTTTGTTATTTTCTCCCTTGTGCTCTCCTTTTTCTGGTTTCCTTTTTTGGTGCTAGGACTTGAACTCAGGGCCTTCACCTTGAGCCACTCCACCAGCCCTATTTTTGTGAAGGGATTTTCAAAATAGGGTCTCAAGAACTATTTCCCTGGGCTGGCTTCAAACTGCCATCCTCCTGATCCTCCTGATCTCTGCCTCTTGAGTAGCTAGGGTTACAGTCAGGACCCACCGGCACCCGGCCTTTTCTGGTTTCTTAAGGTGAAAGGTTAGGTCATTGATTTGAGAGATTTCGCTACATTTAGCTGCATCCTACAGATTTTGTTATGTTATGTTTTTATTTCTGTGCTGTCAAAGAATTTTAAATTTTTCCTAATGACCTTATCATTGACTTACATGATTTAAACTTTTTGCTAATGCCCAGATGTTTGGGAATTTTCCAGTAATTTCATTGTGGTCACAGGGACATATTTTACATGGTTCCATTTTTTAAAAAATTGTTAAAGTTAGTTTCATGGCCCAAAATGTCATCTGTCTTAGTAATATTCCATGTGCACTGAAAAAGATCTGTATTCTGCTATAGTTGAACAGTGTTCTATAAGTATCAATTAGATCTAGGTGGTTGATAATGTTCAAATCTTTTATATTCTAAGAATTATCTGTTCTACTTGTTCTATTCATTATTGCAAGGAAAAATATTGAAGTCTCCAACTATTATTATGAATTTCTCTAAGTTTGATTAATTTTTGCTTCATATATACATATGTACATATATATATATATATATATTTTTTTTTTTTAATGGTACTGGGGTTTGAACTCAGGGCCTTGTCCTTGCTAGGCAGGCACTCTACCACTTGAATTATGCCCCTACTCCTCTTTGCTTTAGGTATGTTTTGAACAGAGTCTTGCTTTTAGGCATGGCCAGCCTGGATCTCAGTCCTCCTATTTATGCTTCCTGCATAGCTAGGATGACAGGCATGTGCCACCTAACCCAGTGTTTATTGGTTGAAATGGGATCTCACAAATTTTTTGCCCAGGGTGGCCTCAAACCACAATTCTCCCAGTCCTCACCTCCTAAGTAGCTAGGATTACAGGTGTAAGCCACTGCACTTGGCTTTGCATCATGTATTTTGAGGAACTGTTGTTTGGTGCATATATATTTAGGATTGTTATCTCGTCTTTGGGAATTGGCCATTTTGTCAATATGTAATTTACTTTTATCTCTGGTAGTATTTATTACATTCTAGTCTATATTGTCTGATACTAATATAGCCACTCCAGTTTTCTTCTGGTTAGTGTTTCTATGGTCTGTCTCTTCACATCCCTTTTTATTCTTTTATTTTCTATATTACATCCTATGTCCTTATAATTAACTATATATACTTTGTATGTTCTATGTATGTTTATGTCCTGTGTATATCTATATCTATATATACAATGTCTGTATATATCTCTCCTATATATATATCCTTATAATTCACTAACTCTACCCCTCTTTTATAATTATCATGTGTATTATGTTCTCATGCACTGAAATATATGTTATTATTTTTGCTATTAACAGTTATATATGTTTACATATATATGATAGATTATCAGGTTAGGGTTTTTTTTGTTTTTATTTTTGATGGTACTGTGGTTTGAACTCAGGACCTCACACTTAGGCAGGTGCTCTACCACTTGAGACACTCCACTGGCCCTTTATTTTTTAATGTTGGGTATTTTTGAGACAGGGTCTCATGAACTATTTTGCCCAGGCTGGTTTTGAACCAAGATCCTCCTGTCTCTGCCTCATATGTAACTAGGATTACAGGTAGTGGGCCACTGATACCAGGTTAGTTTTTTAAAAACTGACCTATGTAATAGCCGTAAGAAACCTACTTCTAAAGTAAAAGGAGAAAGTATTCTTTTATGTTTACCCAATTCTTTTTGTTTTTCCTTTATTTCTGAAATCTTAAATTTTTCTTTTCTTTTTCTTGTTTAAAGAAAAAATTTTTTGAGTTAGGATCTTGCTATGTAGCCCAGTCTGGCCTCAAACCTATACTCCTCCTGCCTCTACCTCCTGAATGCTGAAGTTACATATGTGTGCCACCACGACTGGCTTTTGAGTTTTTCTCTGCTGTAATTTTCCTTTAGATTTTCACAGCATGTTTTTAGAGCAGAGATAAATCCTCTTAGTTTTCCATCATCTTTGAATATATTTCCCCTTATTTCTGAAGGATATTTTTACTGGATTTATGCAAACATAATGTTAAGCAAAAAATACAAATTATATGCAAGATGCATGCAGATTGAGTCTATTTATATGAATCAAAAAGCAAGCAAAGCTAAACAATACATTATTTAAAGCATATACATGTATAGCATAAATAGGAAGGAAGCAAAAGAATGATGAATGAAATTCAAAATAGTTATATCTGGGGGGGCACAAGGAAGGGGCTTAAAGGTATTGAATTATACATTAACATTACAAATATTTTAAGCTCATAAGACATTATTTTTGTTATTTTGTTCTCTTTCTCTCTCTTTTTTTTCTTTTTGGTGGTACTGAATATTGAACCCAGGGTCTTATGCATGCGTGTTAGGCAAGTGCTATACCACTTGAGCCATGCCCCCATCTCTTTGTTATTGTGTATAGTTAATATTCTTTTGGATTCCCTCCTCCTTTTTTTTTTTTTTTTTTTGCGATATTGGGGTT